AGTTAAAAATAGATTTATAATTTACCCCCGAATTTCGTAACTATTTGAACCTGTTCAGTGCGCAAATCTGTCAAAAAAAAACCCCGCTCAAACTAAACATGTAATGCCAGCGATCAATTCCAAAACGAAATGCGAAATATATGCCGTTGTGGTCCACGTTATCCAAAATATGCAGAATTTGGTCATTTCACGTTGTTGTTTTGCGGAGGACGGCAAAGAAATGTACCAAGAATTATAACACACGAGCACAGCCATTGTTTTGCTGATTAAACCTTTTGTTTAGCGACGTTTTCGTTGGGCATGCTGTTGCCGTCGTGGTGTGCTTAAGAGAGAGCTTTGAATCCTTGTTCATTTCAGTTGCCGTCCTCCGCAAAACAACAACGTGAAATGACCAAGTTCTCCGTATTTTGGCTACGCCCACAAAACAGGATGTTGGTACCTCTCAGGGGTTCTTTCAAAAATTTCCGACGAGCAGCCCCGTCCCTCCCGGGACGATTATGTATTTCCCGTAAAATGGGCTAAGTGGCCATGATATTCTAGCCGTATCAAGTCACTGACTTGATATCGCAAGAGATCAAGACAGCGACACGGCTCCTGGTTAATGTCAAATTTAGGCACGGTATAGAGCAGTGCAGCCAGGCAATCACATAAAAGTATTACTCACACGGGAGCATGGCATAGGATGACATACTAATATAGCTAGTTTACTACAGAAAAACATAGCACGGCATAACATAGGATAGCATAGCATGCATAGGATGGCATAATAGCATAGGTAGTTTACTACAGAAAAACGTAGCTTGGCATAACATAGCATAGCATAGCATGCATAGCATGGCATACTAGAATAGCTAGTTTAATAGTATAGCACGGCAAAAAATAGCATGGCATAGCATAACATAGTATAGCATAGCATACCATAGCATAGCATGGCATACCAGAATAGCTAGTTTAATAGTGTAGCATGCACAGCAAGGAATAGCATAGCCTGGCATAGGGTGACATACTAGCATGGCTAGTTTGATAGTGTAGCATGCGCAGCAAGGCATAGCATAGCAGGGCATAACATGGCATACTAGAATAGCTAGTTTACTGGTACATAGCATGGCATAACATAGCGTAGCGCTGAAAAGCGTAGCCCAACATAGTGTAGCGTATTAGCATGGCACTAGCATAGGCTGCATAGCATAGAATGACATAACATAACGTAGTATGTAGCATGGCTTTATGGCATAATATTTACGAATATGGGTTTTCCTCTGTTTGTTTTGTTTTTCAAACTACGTTCCCAAGTCCATAATAGACAAACTCGATCGTCTGGTGCCTTGGACATACCCTTATGTCGCCTGTCAACAGGGCAGCGCTCTTTTGCTTTCAGAGGAGCCAAACTCTGGAACTCTTTGAATAATAATATTAAGTCCTTAAAATGCCCCAAGAATTTTAGGCGTCATTTTGCAAATGTTCTATTAGGTTAATTTAATTTAATTTTATTTTAGATATATATATATTTGTAATATTCTTGATATACTTATTGTAATTATAATATTATTGTACCTATATTCTTGATTAATTTAAATTTAAATTTGTATTTGTAATTGACTTAATAATTGTAATTGTATTGAGCTGAAAAACCCACATAGGGAGCATCAATAAGTTTGTAAAGTTTGTATGTTTGTTTCTTTGTTTTAAACAGAACAGATGGGGGCGATTGGCAATGCCTTTGTGGCATGTGGAGTGATTTACCTTATCGATGATTACAATCAAAATCCCACTACCATCAACTATGCTTATGACACCAAGACAGGAACACAGTGGAACCCAAACATACAGTTCACAAACCAGTACGGCTACAACTCCATGGTGGATTACAACCCCAGAGAAAGACTGCTGTACGCCTGGGACAGCAGGCGCCAAGTCACTTACTCTCTCACTTGGAATTGAATCAAGGAGCTAGAAACAAGTCACGGGTAGCTGGTTGGCTTGTTGCAAAACATGCATACTTGTAATAGAGACCATATCATGGCGATTATATTACATAACATGTTAATTATTGACGGGGAAAAAAGTTGTAATTAGATCTTTTAGTGAGATTATATTTTCGTGTCTTAAGTTTTAAAAGAGAGTTGGAAAAAGTCTGCCACACTTTCAATTATATGCGCAATTCATGATAGCAGGCGTTTCATGGCTTTGACACTGTTTTACGCATTTAGCCAGTGATTTTGATAAAAAATAGACCACCATATTGACGATTTTATCAATGACTATGGGTCTCATGGGTTCTGACTATGTAATGGTATGTTAATATTAATGTAAGATAAGCTACCAGACATTTATTTTACAACTTTAGTATCAGGGATTTCGAAAGTAAAAGGAGAGGGGAAGCAAAACGAAGGAAAGGAAAAGGAAGAGAAGCACTTCCTCCGTTTCTCTTCTCCTCTCCTCTCCCGTCTTCTCGGGAGGCCCTGATACTCAGGCTAATTTTTACACCACTCAGTTGATTCATTACTGAGCCGAACTACAGGCATATATCTGTTTGTACGCACCACATTTAACTTGTTAACCGAAGGTAACCGTTTTAGCCACGGCCAAACGTTAAGCTAATTGCCAACATGTTGAGTTATTAAAGCTTCTTGTTGTGTCAAACTTTGCAACTGGTTTATTACACTACATGATAGCGCCCCACCACTTTCTCTGAGTATTTTTGGGTAATCAAAACAAAAAAATATACTATCTTACTACAGATCGAAGTCGAGTTACTAATCTACGACTGTTACTTGTTTCAAAATTAAATACATAATGTGATTCCCCCAATAGATTGGGAATAATTTTTNAGCTACCAGACATTTATTTTACAACTTTAGTATCAGGGATTTCGAAAGTAAAAGGAGAGGGGAAGCAAAAACGAAGGAAAGGAAAAGGAAGAGAAGCACTTCCTCCGTTTCTCTTCTCCTCTCCTCTCCCGTCTTCTCGGGAGGCCCTGATACTCAGGCTAATTTTTACACCACTCAGTTGATTCATTACTGAGCCGAACTACAGGCATATATCTGTTTGTACGCACCACATTTAACTTGTCAACCGAAGGTAACCGTTTTAGCCACGGCCAAACGTTAAGCTAATTAATTGCCAACATGTTGAGTTATTAAAGCTTCTTGTTGAGTCAAACTTTGCAACTGGTTTATTACACTACATGATAGCGCCCCACAACTCCACTTTCTCTGAGTATTTTTGGGTAATCAAAACAAAGAAATATACTATCTTACTACAGATCTAAGTCGAGTTACTAATCTATGACTGTTACTTGTTTTAAAATTAAATACATAATGTGATTCCCCCAATAGATTGGGAATAATTTTTTTCTCAACCTCCGCTCTTGACGTAATCGTTCTGACAATTTTAGTCTCCGTCAGAAGTGTTCAGTGACAAATTTATCAATAAAAAAAGAACGTCACGGGAGGATGCTGCATGGGGTTTGTTGATAGCTGACAATTTTATAAAAATTTTAACTGTCCGGTTAAGAAATGGCTGGTAGCTGAGATCTGAGATCTGCAAAATTTACTGAGCTTGTAAACGAGCTGAAATGCTAACTGATAGCTGAGAATAAGCCGAAAAATTAACGGCAACTAAGATTCTAGCACCCCTACCCAGGTTCTCTTAATGTATCTGAAAGAAGAGACAGTGTGAAGTTAACGAAGTAGGCCGGACGCAAACTTTGATTGCTGCCTTTGATTTCTAAAGGAAACTACATAGCTCTGAGGTGGTTTTAAGTTTTATTTTTAACACGATTCTGCTTTAGTCGTCTTTGCATTCAGAATTTAAAATCTTCCTTTCACTAAAAAAAATACATTGAAAGGTGATACTAATTAATCGATTTCACCTGATTACTCGCTTTGCTGCACACGTGCATGCACAGCAGTATAACCCACTGAGTTAGAACGGCGATTGTAAAAAAATATTAAAATTAATGATCATTTCACTTAAGCTTCATCTTTAATTAAATTGTGTGCGTTTTTAGTGTAATTAAACTAATAAGACCGACCAATTAGATTTCACGATCCGTTGGACTAGAGCTTAGCTCTTTACAACAGAGAAAACTAACAAACTGGTTTATTATTAACACTTCGAAAGTAGATAACTTGGGAATTTTACAGAATGACTATCCCAGGACAGAATTGCTGATTTAAGAGAGGTTCTCTTTTGATTTTCATTGTACTATTTTTTGCCCTCGTGAGTTTATTAGTTCAGAAACAAGCTAACAGGATTTTAGATTTCATTTTGTTTGTTTTTACATCTACATCCCAATGCACAGATCTGTTTAGGGTAGATCCATTTCGACTTAGTTGCTCTGTCTTCTTTCTCGAGAAACTGTCCAATGTAGAAGCTTGCAGTTTACATGAACAAAAAACGTTTTTACTTTCGTGAAACCGATGTGGTGGACCATTCTGAGTTAGGGCCTTGAGAACAGTAAGTCGTCATTTCGAGTGTGGTCAGTCACATAAGTTTCTTCACGATTGCCTTGTGCTCTTGGGCAATTCAATTCAACTCCTGCAGTACCAATAAGGTGTATAGGTCAGAATACCGGGGAAATCCAGACTGATGCTGGTTAAAACGTGTGATGGACTCACCAGCATTTTATTCAGAAAGAGAACCAGTAATCCTCACTTCGTGCTTCCGAAATCAGGATTATCTCTTGGTCTTGAAGATACTAACCGTCTGCCGGCTCCTAAGTTGGAACACGTTTTTAAATTCATGTCTTGAAAATGAGCCATATTCATGAATTATGGCCTAGATTCTCAATTCCTAAAACTTATGCACTTTTTCGTACAATGCAAATGGTTATCGTGAATTATGCTGCATAATGGCTATTTTGCAAAACAAATACAATAGAAGAAGGAAGGGGATAATCGGAGAAATTAATTGCAAGGATGAAGTTTATTTTCATCAATATATAATTTAAGTTGATTGCGTAAATTTCACTTAGAAATTTCGAGTCCAGTTGCAAAAACTTGCGAAAACGAATAAGTCCGATATTTCCCCTTTACAGAACTCACATTAGTTCAATGGCATATATTTGATTTCAGGCTTCTTATGCTGACGAGAACTGATCGAATGGGCGTCACTACAGGCCTTCTGTTATTCCCAGTTCTACTTGTTATGGGTGAATCATTTCAAGAAGCGGCCACTCAACAATGCCCGGGCGGCAGAACTGAATATTCCACCTCGTGGATGATGCTTCAGCGACACGTCTTTAAAACAATTCATGTATCATTCGGATATGAGTGCTTACAGGCGTGTCATCAGGAGATCACGTGTCAGAGTTTTAATTACGTCATTTCTCAGTCTGCGTGTGAGCTCAACAATCGCACCAAAGAAGCAAGGCCTGAGGATTTTGTGCCTAACACCGACAGATATTATTTTAGACGAGACAGGAACAGAGGTGAGGCAATAATGAAAAGTTTCTCAGTAATTGAACACAACTCTGACAGCTGGAGAATGTTATGACTGTCTTCCTTTCCAGTCCCTCTCGGTTCAATTCCCGAGCTGCCAGCTGAAACCTGTACAGAGATCAAGACGAGTGAAGGCGGACAAGCGGTCAGTGGCAAATACTGGTTTGACGAGTATAAAACAGGAAAATCTGTGCTCACTCATTGTGACATGGACACCGAAGGTAACGT